TCCTAAAGCTAAACATTGTCACCCTGTGATCCTGCATTCTCTCCAACAGAAATGAATACCTGTGTCTGTCAGAAGACATGTGCAAGAGTGTTCAAATTATTTCCATTCATAATTGCTAAATGTTAATCAACAATATAATCAATAATGTTATATTCACATTATGACATATATGTATATGATATATATATATATCAGTGAAAAAGAGCAACTGTAGCTATTTAATGTGTATGAATATCACAGTTACAGTGTTAAGCAAAAGAAGCCAGGTGTGAAAGAACACTGTATATTTTCATAAGAAATTAAGAATAGGCAAAATTAGTATATGATATTAAAAAGTCCAAATAGTGCTTTCCTTTTGGGGTAAAAAGCAATGACTAAGAGGGTGCATGAGGTTGTCTTTTGGTGCTGGAAATGTTCTATATTTTGATCTGGGTAGTAGTTACATGGATATATACATATACAAAAATTCATTCACTTAAGACTTCTGCATTTTACTCAATAAAAATTTAAAATAAAAAGTTACATTAAAAAATACACAGAAGCTATGTACAATCTTAATGGAGGTTTTAAATGTACTCAGGATTTGTTTTAATTAGTAGTGGTAAGACACACAGACATGGAAATGACTGTCATGAAGAAAGGAAGAAGTTTTTATACAGATTCTCACAGATCCCTAGAAATAGAAGACATGACCTGCCATGCAGGAGGGCTACACAGGGAAGCATCAGGATTGGTCAGGAGGCAGAGGGAGTTGGAAGGAAAATGGGAGCAAGAGGTTTTATTATGGATTTCATAGGAAAGAACAGTTCAGGCAGGTTATGTAGGTTTAAGATTGGCTATTATGAACAATCACAGTGGTCTGGAGTTTATATAAAGCCTGAGTTGTCTGGTACCCCAGTCCTGGAGTGATTAGGATGGGGATATGAGCCCTGAGAGGAAGAGCCAGATAGAGGAGGGGGGAGTGTGCCTGGATTGGCCAGTTGTGTATGAAAGGTACTATCTCTAAGAATTGGCTATCCTTGGGAGCCCTAAAGTCAATAAGGCCCAGATGTCAAAACAGAATAAAAGACATGCTTAATATAATGGAGAAAATTATAAAACTTTATTGAAAGTCTTAAAAGAAGATCTAATTTATGAGGTATATACTGTTTTTCTGGAATGGAACCTAATATAAAGGTGTTAGTTCTCTCCTTCAATTAGGTTTTACATTCGGTTCCATTCCAATCAATATCCCAACAGAAATTTTGGTAGAACTTAATGAACTCACCCTAAAAATCATGGAAGAACCAAGGTCCAAGAATAGACAAGGCAATTTTGAAGCTGTAGGCCCAGGTGGAGAACATGCCATAAACCAAGATTTCTAAAGTTACACTGCTAAGTCAGTGTGATAATGGTGTAGAAATTTTAAAAAAAGATGAATAGTACAGAACAGAGACCCTTAAGCAAACATACATTACAGTGGAATCTTGATATGTGACAGAGGTGGCATTTAAAATCAGGGAAAGGATGAATAAATCAATAAATTACGGTACTGGACAAACTGGCATGTGTTTCATATGTGATATAGTGAGAAGGATTCATCATTTATGTAGTAGTGTGTTTATCCCAAGAATGAATAGCCTGAGGATACATCAGGCAATCTCAGGTTGATCTTCTATAAAACAACTGTCATGAAATACTAAGAAAAGCAGAACATAATGTTCCAGATCAAGTAGACTGAAGAGACATAACTAAAAGCAGAAGTGTGATCCTGGATCAGAAGGGAAAAAAAGCTTATAAAGAACATTATTGGAATAATTGATGGAACATAGATAACATCACATTAATTTTAGATTTCTTGAATTTGATAATTGGTTTTGAGGTTATATGAGGCAATGTCCATGTTCTTAGGAGATAGGTGCTAAAGTATTTAGAAGTGATGGTTACTAATTACTCTAGAATGTAGTTCAGTACAAAAAAATCTCTCAAATGAGAGACAAAAAAGAAAAGTTATGGCAAAATGTCAAAAGTTGTTGAATCCACCAACATGTACCAATTTGAGATTCTTAAAACAAAAATTTTTTAAAAACCCAGAATTAAAAAAAATAATTTTATAGTGATGCTGGGAGAACTGATTATTGACTTTAAAAAAGTAAATAGGATCCCTGCTTCTTACTGCACCTGTATACAAAGAAATTCCAGATGAATTAAAGATCCAGTTGTGAAAAGTAAAACTTTTAGAGAAAATGTAGGAGAATAGTTTCCATGATGTCTCATGGTAGGGAAGACTGTTTTAAAATGAGATTTGGAAGGCATAAATAGTATAGGAAAACTGCTAAATATTAAGTTCATTAAAATAAAAACTTTCTGTTCTGTAAAACACATTTTTTAAGAAGTGGAAAAGACATTTGCATATAATACAATATCACAAAAATTAGAGTCCAGAATTTATAAAGAACTCTCACAAGTCCATAAGAAAAGGGTGGGAAAAGTCCAGTAATAAAAGAAAAAGGATCTGAACAGGTAAAGGACAGGAAACCCAAATAGCCAGTGTAACTTGGAAAATTGCTCAATCTCACTGTCATCAAAAATGCAGATTAAAACCACAGTGAGGTTGTAAAACTGCAGTCATTTCACACTATTAGATTGAAGAGTTTTTAATTTGATGACAATTATAACTTAATGAACTTTTGCCATGTATAATAAGTTTCCTAACTGCTTTAAGGTATATAGCTCATTTACTCAATTATATGAGATCAGTAAGATCCTCCTTTCACAGATGAATAAATTGAATTAGAAGTTGAGATCACACAGTTAGAAAGTGGTAGTGGTAGAATTTGAAACCACACACTATGGCTCTGTGTCCCACTGAATTGAATACCATGCCAGAGGTAGTAGTGCAAAGTGGTTAAGTAGAGAGATTTTGGAAACAGGTTGCACTCACTGTAACATGTAAGATCTTGAGTAAGTTACTTAACTTCTCAGTGTTATATTTTTGGCACCTCATTATTGATTTTTGGGAAGCTTAAATAGGTTATCATTTTATTATTACTCTATACTGCTTCTGGAAGTGTGGGTGAAGTTGTGGTACACCAGAAACTCACATATACATTTCTGGTTGAGAGTGTAAATTGGTACAGCTACTGTACTAATTTTTAAAAAAGGATTTAATAAAAGTTGAAGGTGCACCTACTAAGTACCTTTAACATTGAAATGCCTTTTGGAAATTATCTAGCAATTCATGTCCTTGTCATATACCATAAAGAAACTCTTTCAAGGAGTTATGCACTGGGATGTTCACTGCAACATTGTATTACCTGGAAACAACCTGAATATATACCAACTGAAAAATGAAAAAATGTATTATTTTCAAAAAACAAAATAATACGTAGTAGATTTAAAAAGCTGAACTATAGTCACATGAGTGAACATAGATCTTGAATGATATTGAACAAAAGCAATCTGCAGAAGGACATGTACAGTGTGGTTTCATTCATATATGGTATAAAAACATGGATAAAAGACTATGTGTTTCATCAAGTATAAGATGACAAGATTTTAAGGTGCACTATTATTTTAAAAATCACTAAGACAAGAATACCACCATGCAACTATGATATACCAGTTTTAGAGATGTGTGTGCCTTTTAGAATAGATGAGCTATGATGTACTATTTGTGGATATAGGTTAACATGCAAATGTGTAATGGTATGGTAATTTAAAAAAAGACCAGGGCTACCCTCTGTAGAAGTCAAGGGATTGGGATTTGGAAGGACTCACAGGGACATCAACTTCAGTGTCTGCAATGTTTTGTTTGGTTGAAATAAAAAAGGCTAAGTGAAGCAAAAATAGCAAAAAGTTAAGATTCATTAAGCAGGGTGGGAGTATGTGGATATATGTATCCATACTTTTCTGTGTGGCTGAAATATGTTGTGACTTTTTTTTTAATTGGTGGAGACGAAGGGTAGGTAGCTGTATATTGGATAAGTTTGGCTTGAAGGGAAGGATGACAGAGGAAAGCATATCTATGGAGGTTTTTGTTTAATTGAGAAGTATAGGTACCCTTTGCTGTCTAAACTCTGAACTCTGTATTGCTCTGTGAAATCTATATTGCTATTCAGTCTAAGGAATGGAATATATTCTCTTAGATTTTCAGATAAATCTCTTATTGTTTAAATTACTTTTCATCTGGCACTTTGGAACCAAATAGACATCTCTGACATCAACATTGCCATTCAGACTTAAGAACCACTAATATTCACAAAATAATGGATTCTTTCACTTATTTGTAAGCCAACAGAGAAGAGCTGAGATCCAGAATATAGATAAAGGAATTCACCTTGCCTAAGAGAATAGTCACTTACTTTCTCTTACACTGGAAAGAACATGATGAGAGTAGGTTTAAAGATAGAAAAGTTTTAGGTATGGGTATGAAATTGACTAAGTTCCAGGCCAATAGTCTCAATTCCTTTGAGAAATAGGAAGAAAGGTCAGGGTGAAGTTAGAGGTGAGGCAGCACAATTGGGCTTAAAGACAGTGTTTGGTGGTGATTGGATTTTGTTTAGATTTTTATATCTTGTGTCAGTAGTAGTCACTGTCTTTTGAAATACCTTTTTGAAAATTTACTTGACCTTGCAAGGGTCACAGAAATTACTGAGTATTTTTAATATACTAGACAGAAGACTGATTCTGTAATTAATATCTGGTCTTTGAAAATTTATTATACAGCCTCAGACTATTTCCCTAATCTGTCTTTTCCAGACAGAGAAACAAAAATTGCTGTATGTTTCAAAGTGTATAAGTGTTTTATGTTGTATATATTTTTTCATACTGATAGAGTGAAGAAATGATTATAATCTAATCTTCATTCTTCATTTTGCAGTTTATGCCTAATACTCTTTTAGTACAAAGAAATCTGTTTCTCTATATTCCTTATAATTAAATATAGGTTACTTTGGAACTTAACTATTCAAATGCAGAGCATTCTGTACTTTTTATTAATTATGCCTTTTTAACTTTAGAGCTGAACGACAAAGGAATGAAGCACTGTATAATGCTGAAGAGCTGAGTAAAGCTTTTCAACATTATAAAGAAAAAGTAGCTGAAAAACTGGAAAAGGTAAGAGGCAGTTGTACAAATTTATTGTTTTGTATTACTGTCTATATCTTAAAAATATAGACAAATAGAATATGCTTGTTTAGGTTAAAGCAGGGAGCAGTTTTATGATCTAATTCATAATAAAATAATTTTAAAAAAAAGAATTTATAAATATTAGTTAAGAATGATGTTTGCAGTCTTCTTAAAATGAGCAGAAATTTCTTTATCCAAAGAGAGAAAAGAGTGAAGACAAGAGAAGGAGCAAAATGCAGAGAAAGATGGGGCAAGTGAGCAGAGATTAGAGCAATGGAAGTAGAAGCAGGAGATTTGTTCCCAACACCTCAATGAAAATGAAGGCAGAGAAGATTATGTAGCCTTTAGTTGGTCTCCCTGGACCTACCTTGACATGGGCTCACTTCTGTCTCTCAGAGGGAAGTTTCCTTGAACAGATTCTGCAGTATAGAAGCTTAATGTTCCATTCATTTAGTGTCTTTATGCAGTACCACGTGATAATAAATCCTGTCTGGAGGAAAGCCACATGTTATATATTCGGATGTTGAAGTCTGGTCAAGAGAAACCAATTGAGAGACTTCCATCTGGAGATACTAATTGAAACAGAGGAAGTTAATGATTCTGTTCAAAGAAAGGTAGAAGGGTAGAAGAAAATGATTATTATTAAAAAATTTTTAAATAAGATCCCATTAGATACTGAAGTCATAAGTGTGAATTAATCAGATCACTGTTTTGAAGCCTTGGAGAAGGTCTCTATGGGAATTAAATACTATAGAAGGGATTTTTAATAAGGTTATTTGAAAGGGGAGGTAGAGTTAAGCTAGTAGGGGGAGTGAAGCTCTCTTTGGGGAGAGGGAGGATTTTGCCAAGGAAAAAGAGTGAAATGTAAAGACGATTTTTTCACACTTCTTAGGATTATCAAATTCAAACTGTTTAGCAAAGACCTGTAGTTAGGTAGATGTAACAAATAAGGTGGGGCAGATCTGCCCAATCCTCTACTCCATCCTGGAGGTTTTTATCTTTCAAATTTTGGACTGTAATTTCAGTGGGCATATTCTATTGCTAATATTAAAAATATTCTTATCTGAAACATTTGTATTAAAGTTAGCCTTTAATAACTTGATGCAGTATCCCTACATGGCTTGCTTGCCGTTTCTACAGGAGGCCAGAACACTTTTGCTTTTGATGGTGCTTGTGTTCCTCTGTCATATGGGCTTCTAACCATTTCGGGACCCATAGTGGCATCCTCCTCCCTGTGTTGTTACGGGAAATTCACTTTGTTCCTTTTGCTACAAGGCTGGGGATTTAAACATGTGGCAGTCTTTCATATTCTTGTGCTTATTTCTGAAATCACTACTTTTTAGTTTGAAACACCTAAAACTTATGATCACATTAGTATGTCCAATTAAAACAAATTATTGTTTTAGGTTCAAGCTGAAGAAGAGATACTAGAGAAAAATCTAATTAACTGTGAAAAAGAAAATAAAAGGCTACAGGAAAAGCATGGTCTATATAAAAATGAACTTGAGATTCTGAAAGAGAAATTAAGGTATAGTACCCTGTTGTGGAAAAAAGACATTTGTGTGAAAATTGAGAAAAATGGAAACATTTTAAAATAGAATATTTTGTACACTGTAATTCTGGCCTTAAATTATGTAGAAAGATAGGTTTCCTGACTGAAATTCTTTTCTAGGTATAAAGTATAAAGTTAGGATTTTAAGTAAAACATGTTGGTATTAATATATTTGTAGAGTAATATGATCAACATTTTTGCTTTGCATGTATTTAGAGAAAATAGACACAGACGTAAAAATCCTTGTAGTGTGACCACATTAGCTAGTTAGTAAAATACAGATTCTTCAACTCAATCAGTCAACTGGTTCTACTTTATTTCAGAGATGTTAAAATGTGGAGAAGGAAACTGATGAAGTACAATAACAGTTCTAAAGATTAGATTGTTCTAATTAGATTGTGACATGTTTTATAGGTATTTATATTTAAAAATATTACTGCTTAGTAGTCTTTTAGTAGGTGATTAGACTTTTAGAGTTGTGGCTGATAGTTCATGATTTTTCCTTGTGCAATCTAGAACTTTCTTGATACTGCAAAATATTGTGTCAGGATTTTGGAGTTAGATCTCCTATCTAACACTTTTAAAAAGGGAGCAGAAATGCTCCCAAGATAGTGGAGTTATCCTGCCTTACTACTTACTGTGAGACACTGGGCAAGTTTTGTAATCTTTCTTGCTTCCATTTCTTCATCTATAATTGGGGAGTAATAACAGTGCTAAGCACACACGATTGTGAGTGCCTTGTATGCAAAAGGTAGGCACTCAGTAAATGTGAGCAGCTATTACTATTTCAGAAGTAGGCTTTAAAATATTTTTAAAGTGATATTAACTAAGTATTACAGAAAATGAATGTATGTTTTATTTCCATTTTTATACCTTATTCTTCACAGACAGTTAAAAGAAGAAAATAACAATGGAAAAGAAGAACTAAGGATCATGGCAGTGAAAAATTCAGAAGTTATGGCACAACTAACTGAATCTAAACAAAGTATTCTGAAGCTAGAGAGTGAGTTAGAGGACAAAGACAAAATACTTAGAGAAAAATTTTCTTTAATGAATGAAAATCAAGACTTAAAGGTTTGTATTGCAACACAGAATGAGCGACTGGACTTGTGTCAGCAAGAAATAGAAAGTTCAAGGGTGGAACTGAGAAGTTTGGAAAAAACTTTGTCTCAGTTACCAATAAGTATATGTGAAAAGGAAATATTTTACTCAAGTGCTTTATAAGAGATCATCACTTTGTGGCTGTTTTATTAGCTTCTGGGGTCTTTTCCTTATATGTCTGTACTTTCAGTCATTAATTTCTTTCTGTCTGATATCTAACTTTTCCTGTGCTTGCTTTTCTACTATTGCACCCTCTCTCAGTCTCTCAAATGCCATGTATAAGAATGGCACAGATTGTAAAAAAAAACAAAACAGCTTTATTGAAGTAACATTCACATACCACAAAATTCACTGTTCATTATGTACTGTTTTAAGTGTGCTGTTCAGTGATTTTTAATAAATTTGTAAGTTTTAGAACAATCACCACAATCCAATTTTTAAACATTTCCATTATCCCCAAAAGATCCCTTGTGTTCATTTATAATTGTACACAAAAGATCCTTATACCCACCCCTACTCCCAGGAAACCACTATTTGCTTTCTGCCTTTAGAGAATTGTCTGTTCGGAAATTTTGTATAAATTAAATTACATGGTCTTTTTCATTCTTAATGTTTTTGAGTATTATTCATTGTGATGTGTATCAGTATTTTCTTCTTTTTATTGTTGAGTATTATTCCATTGTATAAATATACCACATTTTGTTTATCCAGTCACCAATAGATGTACATTTGGGTTGTTCGCACTTTTGGACTATTCTGAAAAATTCAGCTATGACCATTTGTGTACAAGTCTTTGTATGGACTTGTTTTCATTTATATGATAAATTTATACCAAACTGCTTTCCAAAGTGGTTATACCATTTTTTATGTTCTCACCAGCAGTGTTTGGGTATGCCTGTTTCTCTACATCCTAGCCAACATTTGTTATGGTTTTTTTTTTATTATTATAGTCATTTTAGTGGGTATGAAGTAGTATCACATTGTGATTTTAATTTTCATGTCCCTAATGACTAAATAATACTGAGGAACTTTTCACATACTTATTAGACAGGCACAAAACATTAGAATGTTTCCATGAAAGCAGCTGGCCACATTTTCTCTTTCAGTTATGTATACGACCATATTTGTAAGTGAGACTAGGGAGAAGTATTCCTGTATCAGAAATTTGTTATTGATAAGTGTAAAATAAAGGTGAGATCAGGAGAAAGCTATAGATAAATGTGCATCATTGGTTTCACATATGGATGGATGGTAGACTCTTACTAGTTTAATACAATCATGGAATTGTGAAGCTGAAACAGACCACAGAAATTATCTGATTGAATACCATCATTTTATTCATGAAGAAATGTAGACCCAAGAAAGTAAATAACTTGTCCAGCTAAAACTAGAACATATGATTCTTGGTTCCGTTCTGCTTCATGGCTTACTGCTATATCTACTCTCCTAGGATGCTGATTATTTGCTTAGATTTTTTAATGTACGGTTTGCTTTTGAAATTTGATAATAATTAGGTACAGATAGCATTTACTTTAAATTGATAGTCCTATTTAGCTCAACATAAAAAATTACTTCATATGTGATTCTGAAGGCGTTATAATACATTCTTGATCTTGTATTTCATGCAGTGCTGGGAATAACTTGGTTTGGAAATGTGCTTTTTTTTTTTTTCATTTCTAGAAAGTGTGATTTGGTTATAGTTTGAAGAGGGTCTTATTTAAGTGCTTACCTTGCCCCATTTAAAAACTAATTTTAAAAAAGTCTCTAGTATTCCAATATACACATGTGCTGAATCTGGGTAATATACTATGATAGGTGCTATATATAGCACATTTGCTGAATTTGGGTAACATATTGTGATACCCACTTCAGATTTTTTGGAACAAAATTTTACAGATAAAGCCTTTTTATATACCTTGCTAGATCCCATTTCTTTCTCTCTCCTCAGAGATAACTGCTATTCTGAAATTCATGTATATCTTTCCTGTCTGTATTTTAAATGTTGTCACACATATGGATGATCTAGAAAAAAGGACATATTCACACATACACTCACACAGTTTAGTATACTTTGGAAAATACTATGTGTGCCTCTTGTTTTTCAATTAATGTTATGTTATGTCTCCATAATGATTTATATAATACAGGTTTATTTTAAATATTGTAGTTTTTCCATTATCTTAATATATTTTAATGTAATTATACATTCTATTGATGGACATTAGGTTTCTATTAAATTCACACCATTTTTCAAACTTGGAGTTCTGAATAATAAAATAATTATATCATAGATATTATAAGTTTATATATATATATTTCTTGATTTGCAGTTAAAAAGGGAAATGTTTGGTTTTAAATCATCTCGTTCTAAGCACCAGATGAGTAGTTTGTCAAACAAGGAAGACAATTACATTGGCTGCTGTGAGGCAAATAAAATGGTGATTTCAGACTTGAGGTACAGTTTTCAGATGCTCGAGTTGTAACAAATGCAATGTTTTTTTAAATTGATGATTATAATCTTTAATTGTGGAGTTGAAAAATGTGCAGAAAAGTCCAGAGAGTATTGTAATTTCTGTGTTTTCATGACTAAGAATTGATTCTTAACATCTTGTGATTTTTTTTTCAAATCTGTTCCTTTAAGTAAAAAAAACATTACAGTATGGATAATACCCTTTGATCCTTACCACTAGTATCATTCCCCTAGGTATCCACTATCAGGAATTGGGTGTATATTTTTCCACCCATGTTTACAATCACACACAAAAATATATAGTATATACATACAGTTGCAATTTGCTTTTTCACTCACCATAGTTTTTTTAATTCATCCATGTTAAAGTAGGTAGAGTGATTGGTGACTGGATGGATTAGTCTGTTTAGTTTAAATAGCTGTATAGTAATCTATCCTATAACTGTGTCACTACTTATTTATTCCTTTATTGATACTTACCTCATTTCCAGTTTTCTTCTATTATAAACAGTACTGCAAACTACAAACTTAAAGTGAAATTGCTGAATCAATTTTGCTAGGAATTATCAAGTTTCTTCTTTTTTTATTGAAGCATCATTGATCAAAAACCTTATGTTGGTTTCAAATGTGTGACACAGTGGTTCAGCAGTTACCTATTAAATCCTCACCCCCTCTAGTGCAGTTATTATCAATGTAGAAAGATATTACAATATCATTGACTATATTCTCCCTGCTGTACTGCTGTCCCCATGACCAACTTACATTGGTATTGTGAATTATTGTGCCCCTTTATCACCCTCCCCTTCCATCACCACCTGCCACAACTGCTCCCCTTTGGTAATCACTAGTTGCTCCTCAGTTTCTATGAGTCTATTGCTGTTTTTTAATTCTGTTTTGCTTTGTTTTATATTCCACAAATAAGGGAGATCATATGGTACTTGTCTTTCTCTTCCTGGCTTACTTCACTGACCATAACACCCAAGAGATCCATCCATGTTGTTGTACTTGGGAGAATTTATTTTCTTTTCATGGCCTATTATTTAATAGTCTATTAAATAGACTTATTTAATAGTTCATTGTGTCTATGCACCACATCTTCATTATCCATTCATCTATTGATGGACACTTAGGTTGCTTCCATATCTTAGCTACTGCAAATAATGGGTGATAAACACAGAGGTACATATATATTTTTGAATCAGGGTTTTGTTTTCTTCACTTAAATTCCCAGAAGTGAAATTACTGGATTGAATGGTATTTCTGTTACTAGTTTTTTGAGGAATCTCCATAATGCTTTTCACAGTGGTTGCACCAACTGACATTCTCACCAACAGTGTAGGAGGGTTCCTATTTCTCCACATGTTTGCCAACATTTGTTATTCGTCTCTTTTGAATAGTGGCCATTCTAACTGGTGTGAGGTGATATTGTGGTTTTAATTTGCGTTTCCTTGATGATTACCTATGTGGAGCATCTTTTCATGTGCCTGTTGGCCATTTTTATTTCTTCTTTGGAGAAATGTCTGTTCAGGTCCTCTGCCCACTTTTTCATTGGGTTATTTGCTTTTTGGGTGTTGAAGCAGATGAGTTAACCCCTTATCAGATGAGTTGTGTATGAATATATTGTCACATACTGTAGGATGCCTTTTTGTTCTGCTGCTGTTGTCCTTGGGTGTACAGAACCTTTTTAGTTTGATGTAGTCCCACTTGTTCATTTTTTATTTTGTTTCCTTTGCCCAAGGAGATGTGTCTAGAAAATAATTTTTTTACTTATGTTCAAGAGATTTTTGCCTATGTTTTCTTCTAAGAGGTTTATGGTTTCATGACTCACATTCAAGTCTTTGATTCAAGTTTACTTGTTTGTGGAGTTTGTTAATAATCCTGTTTCATTCTCTTACATGTAGCTGTTCAGTCTTCCCAACACCAGTTGTTAAAGAGGCTGTCATTTCCCCATTGTATATCCATGGGTCCTTTATTGTATATTAATTGACCATATATGTGTGGATTTATATCTGGACTTTGTTCTGTTCTACTGATCTATGGGTCTCTTCTTTTGCCAGTACCAAATTGTTTTGGTAACTGTGGCTTTGTAGTAGAGATTGAAGTCAGGCAGCATAATACCCCTAGCTTTGTTCTTTCTCAGGATTGTGTTGGCTTTTTGGGGTCTTTTGTGGTTCCATGTGAATTTTAGAACTATTTGTTCTAGTTCATTAATGAATGCTATTGGTATTTTTATAGGAATTGCATTGAATCTGGATTGCTTTGGGCAGGATGGTCATTTTGACAATATTAATTCTTCCTATCAATGAGCACAGGGTGTATCTCCATTTATTGGTGTCTTCTTTAATTTCTCTCTTGAGTGTCTTATAGTTTTTAAAGTAAAGATCTTTCACTTACTTGCTTAGGTTTATTCCTTGGTGTTCTTTTTGATGAAATTCTAAATGGAATTGTTTTCCTGAGTTCTCTTTAATCTAGTTTGTTAGTGTATAGGAATGCAACAGATTTCTGTGTATTAATTTTGTATCCTGTACCTTTGCTGAATTTAACTATTAGTTGTAATAGGTTTTTGGTGAAGTCCATAGGATTTTCTATGTATAATATCATGTCATCTGCAAATAGAGTTTAACTTTTTTTCTTATCATTTTTACCTCTTTGTTGTTGTCTGATTGGGTAGGACCTCCAGTACTATGTGAAATAAAAGTGGTGAGAGTGGGCACCCTTGTCTTGTTCCCAATTTAAGAGGAAAAGCTTTCAGCTTTTTGCTATTAAGTATGATGTTGGCTGTGGGTTTGTCATATATGGTATGTACCCTCTATACCCATTTTGTTGCGAGTTTTATTATGAATGGATGTTGAATTTTGTCAAATGCTTTTTCAGCATCTATTGATATGATCATGCGGTTTTTATCCTTCTTTTTGTTGATGTAGTATGTGATATTGATGGGTGTAAAAATATTGCATCCCTGAAATAAATCCCACTTGGTCATGATGGATGATCTTTTTGATGTATTTTTGAATTCAGTTTGCTAATATTTTGTTGAGTATTTTTACATCTATGTTCATCAGGGATATTGTTCTATAATTTTCTGTTTTTGTGGTGTCTTTGGTTTTGGTATTAGAGTGATGGTGGCTTCAGAATGAGTTTGAAGTAGTCCCTCTTCTACTTTTTGGAATAGTTTATGAAAGATGGGTAGCTCTTTTTTAAATGTTCGGTAGAGTTCAGCTGTGAAGCCATCTGGACCAGAACTCTTGTTTTTTGGAGTATTTTGATTACCAGTTCTATTTCATTGCTGGTAATTGGTCAGTGCAGATTTTCTGTTTCTTTTTGGGTCAGTCTTAGAAGATTATAATTTTCTAGGAAGTTGTCCATTTCTTCTAAGTTGTCCAATTTGTTGGCATATAATTTTTCACAGTATTCTCTAGTAATTCTTTGTATTTCTGCAGCATCCATTGTGATTACTACTTCTTTGTTTCTGATTCTGTTTATGTGTGTACATTCTCTTTTTTTCTTGATAAGCCTGGCTAGGGGTTTATCTATTTTATATATTTTCTCAAAGAACCAGCTCTTGGTTTCATGGATCTTTTCTATTGTTTATTCTTTTCTATTATATTTCTGCTCTGATCTTGATTATGTCCCTCCTTCTGCTGACTTTGGGTTTCATTTGTTCTTTTTCTAGTTTCTTTAATTGTGACTTTAGGCTGTTTATTTGGGCCTGTTGTTTCTTGAGGTAGGCCTGTATTGCTGTGTACTTCCCTCTTAGAACTGCCTTTGCCACATCCCACAGTTTGGGGCTGTTTTGTTTTTTGTTCATTTGTTTCCATGTTTCCTTGATTTCTGTTTTAATTTCTACATTGATCCATTGATTATTTAGAAGCATGTTGTTTAGCCTCCCTGTGTTTGTAGGCTTTTTTGTTTTCTTTGTGTCAGTTATTTCTAGTTTCATGCCATTGTGGTCTGGGAAGCTGCTTGATACAATAAATTGAAATTTATTTGTATTTTGTATTTGTATTTGGATTTATTAAGGCTCTTCTTGTGGCCTAGTATGTGATATCTTCTGAAGAATGTTCCATGTACACTTGAGAAAAATGTGTGTCCTACTGCTTTTTGGTGGAATGTTCTGTGGATATCTCTTTAAGTCCATCTGATCTAATGTATTGTTCAGTGCCTCTGTTTCCTTACTTATTTTCTGTCTGGTTGATCTATCTATTGATGTGAGTGGTGTTTTAAAGTCTCCTAAAATGAATGTGTTGCAGTCTGTTTCCCCCTTTATTTCTGTTAGTATTTGCTTTACATATGTAGGTGCTCCTGTGTTGGGTACATAGATATTAGTTATAGTTATATTTCCTTGTTGGACTGACCCCTTTATCATTATGTAATGTTCTTTGTCTGTTATTACTTTCTCTCTTTTGAAATCAATTTTGTCTGATGTAAGTACTGCTACTTCTGTTTTTTTCTTCCTATTATTTGCATGGAATATCTTTTTCCATCCCTTCACTTTCAGTCTGCATATGTCTTTGTGTCTGAAATCAGTCTCTTCTAGGCAACATATAGATGGGTCTTGTTTCCTTATCCATTCTGCCACTGTATGTCTTTTGATTGGTGCATTCAATCCATTTACATTTAAAGTAGTTATTGCTAGATATGTATGTACTTACTGCCATTTTATTAGTTGTTTTCTAGTTGTTTTTATAGCTTCTGTCTGTTACTTTCTTCCTGTGTTATACTCTTCTCTTGTTATTTGATGATTTTCTTTATTGTTGTGATTGGATTTCTCTTAAAAAAATTTTTTTTTGTGAATCTAATGTAGGCTTTAGTTTTGTGGTTACCAGAGGTTCAAGGATAGTTTCCTTACTGTATAAGTCTATCTTAAATGGCTGATCACTCTATTTCAAACCCGGTTTAAAGGTACTTTTTTTCTTCTTACTCTTCCACACTTTCAAACTGCTGCCTCTGGTTTTGTGTCTGAAGAACCTGTGGAGCTTGTGTGTTCTTCCCAAGTGGCTGGAGTCTCAGCCTTCCAAATAGTTCCACCTGTCCCTGGTGTCAGCCCCACTAATCACCAGAACCCAATATATGTCATCTCATGCTTCCAGAGCCAATCTCAGGGCCAGGTGTGCAGAGATCCTGGGCTCCTGTCTTCTCCCTGCTCTGTTCCTCTTTCTCCTGCCTTTGGACTGGGTTGGGGGATGGCTTGGGTTCCACTCAATCAGGGATCTGCCACTTTACCCTTTTCTATGTGATCTTCTTTTCTTCTGCAGGTACAGTTGGTCTTTTCTGCAGTCTTAGGTTGTTTTCAGGTTTAATTGTGTTTGCTGTATTTTCTTCTTTTATGTGTTTTTGGAAGGTGATTTCTGCCTTGCCATCCTATTCCACAATCTTTTTCTCCTCCCCTCTCAGTTTCTTCAAGTAGCTGAACAGTTTACAATCAAGTCAGTGATATATAAGCATTTCCATGTCTTGCCCAATAGTGTAATATCAGAGTTAAAATTTTTTACTAATCTCAAAGGTGAAAATAGTATTAAATGTTTTTATAAAATCTTTCTAATGATTTTTGGCTAATTTTCTTTCGTACTAGGATTATGCTTGCAATAAAAGAAGCAGAAATTCAAAAGCTTCAGGCAAACCTGACTGCAAATCAGTTATCTCATAGTCTTATTTTTTGCAATGACAACCAAGAAAGTGGCAAATTAAATATTTTAGAGACAGAACCTGTAAAACTAGGAGGTAAGCAAGTAGGTGAGTATATTACATTGAAATATTTTAATAAATTATAGTCAGAATTCTTTATGAGAGTTTTTTAAAGAGATTATCAGCTCTTTGGTTTCATTATCAAATTTACCTGATAATCTGTTACTTCCTGTTATGGGTAGATAAGACAGTAGAAGTTATGGCAAAATTCTTGACCTTTGCATAATTCTTTAAAAATGTACTTATATTTACTTAAAATAAGATGCACCCATTTAAGATACAAAGTTTGATATATTTTATTACCTGTTTGTTGTTTCATATGCTTATGTCTTTATCACTATCACCATAACCAAGACATAACATTTCCTCAGGATGCTTTGTACTCCTTCCAGATTTGGTTTGGGTTTAATTTCTCTTTAACTTTCCTTAAAGTGAAAGCTTAGATAGTGATTTTAAACCTTTCCTCTTGTTGAATGTGAGTATTTAAGGGTATAAACTTCCCTTTAGGCAATGCTCTAGCTGGATCCTACTAATTTTTGTGTTGTATTTCCATTTTGTTCAGCTCAAAATATCTTATACTATCTTTCATATGTGTTTATTTCCAAATATTTAGGATTTTCCAATTATCTATGTATTAGTAGTGGTGGATATTAAGTTGTTTCCATTGAACAACCTAATTCATGAATGAACCTGATTTAATTTTGTAAAAATGCTTTGAGACTTGGTGTATTGGCCAGTATATGGTCTATCTCAAATATTTTATATGCACCTGTAAAAATTGTATATTCTGTAATTATTGGGTGCAGTGTTCTTTGAATGTCAGTCATTTTAAATTTGTTGATAGTGTTAAGTCTTCTTTACTCCTGATGATTTTTTTCTTTTTTTTTTGTTTTTTTGGTTATCATTAATCTACAATTACATGTAGAACATTATGTTTACTAGGCTCCCCCCTTTACCAAGTCCCCCCCACAATCCCCTTCACAGTCACTGTCCATCAGCATAATAAGATGTTCTGGAACCACTACTTGTCTTTTCTGTGTTGCACAGCCCTCCCTGTGCCCCCCCCGACACTATACATGCTAATCGTAATGCCCCCTTTCTTTTTTCCCACCCTTATCCCTCCCTTCCCACCCATGCTCCCCAGTCCCTTTCCCTTTGGTAACTGTTAGTCCATTCTTGGGTTCTGTGCTTCTGCTGCTGTTTTGCTCCTTCAGTTTTTCATTGTTCTTATACTCCACATATGAGTGAAATCATTTGGTACTTGTCTTTCTCCGCCTAGCTTATTTCACTGAGCATAATACCCTCTAGCTCCATCCATTTTGTTGCAAATGGATCTGTTTTTTTCTTACAGCTGAGTAATATTCCATTGTATATATGTACCACATCTTCTTTATCCATTCATCTACTAATGGACATTTAGGTTGCTTCCATATCTTGGCTATTGTAAATAGTACAGTGATAAACATAGGGGTGCATCTGTCTTTTTCAAACTGGAGTGCTGCATTCTTGGGGTAAATTCCTAGAAGTGGAATTCCTGGGTCAAATGGTATTTCTATTTTGAGCATTTTGATGAACCTCCATACTGCTTTCCACAATGGTTGAACTAATTTACATTCCCACCAGCAGTGTAAGAGGGCTCCCCTTTCTCCACAACCTAGCCAACATTTGTTGTTGTTTGTCTTTTGGATGGTAGCCATCCTTACTGGTGTGAGGTGATATCTCATTGTGGTTTTATTTTGCATTTCTCTGATGACAAGTGATTTAGAGTATCTTTTCATGTGTGTTGGTCATCTGAATTTCTTCTTTGGAGAACTGTTTGTTCAGCTCCTCTGTCCATTTTTTAATTGGATTATTTGCTTTTTGTTTGTTGAGGTCTGTGAGCTCTTTATGTATTTTGGATGTCAACCCTTTATTGGATCTGTGCTTTATGAATATATTCTCCCATACTTTAGGGTACCTTTTTCTTCTCTTGATGGTGTCCTTTGCTGTACAGAAGCTTTTCAGCTTGATATAGTCCTACTTGTTCATTTTTGCTTTTATTTCCCTTGCCCGGGGAGGTATGTTCATGAAGAAGTTGCTCATATTCATATCCAACAGATTTTTGCCTATGTTTTTTTCTAAGAGTTTTATGGTTTCATGACTTACATTCAGGTCTTTTGATCCATTTTGAATTTACTTTTGTGTATGGGGTTAGACAGTGATCCAGTTTCATTCTCTTACATGTAGCTGTCCAGTTTTGCCAGCACCATCTGTTGAAGACCATTGTATGTCCATGGCTCCTTTATCATATATTAATTGAACCATATATGTTTGGGTTAATGTCTGGAGTCTCTATTCTGTTCCACTGGTCTGTGGCTCTGTTCTTGTGCCAGTACCAAATTGTCTTGATTACTGTGGCTTTGTAGTAGAGCTTGAACTTGGGGAGTGAGATCCCCCCCACTTTATTCTTCTTTCTCAGGATTGCTTTGGCTATTCAGGGTCTTTGGTGGTTCCATATGAATTTTTGAACAATTTGTTCCAGTTTGTTGAAGAATATTGTTGGTAATTTGATAGGGATTGCATCAAATCTGTATATTGCTTTGGGCAGGATGGGCATTTTGACAATATTAACTCTTCCTAGCCAAGAGCATGGGATGAGTTTCCATTTGTTAGTGTCCTCTTTAATTTCTCTTAAGAGTGTCTTATAGTTTTCAGGGTATAGGTCTTTCACTTCCTTGATTAGGTTTATTCCTAGGTATTTTATTCTTTTTGATGCAATTGTGAATGGAATTGTTTTCCTGATTTCTCTTTCTATTAGTTCATTGTTAGTGTATAGGAAAGCCACTGATTTCTGTGTGTTAATT